TTTTTTTAACTTAGATTTATTCCAACTTTATCTAAGATAAACAATTTGAAAAAAAAATGTTACAATACTTAAAGAAAAATTTTCCGACGACACAATCATGACTTTTATGACAAATTTATAAATAAAATTTTAATTAAAATAATCGTCGTTAGAGCTGTTTATATAGATATGAAAAAAATCGTAATATTGTCTTATATTTTTTATGTTAAATTTTATAAAATATTATTTAATGCAGTATCATTCATTTCTTGGGATAAATATTTATGACTAATTTTTAATTGATTTAATTGAAAAGGTAAAATGAAAATTTTGAAAACTTCATTTAAAATTAAAGTTTATTTCCATCCATTTTACGTGTTAAATTCTTTTATCGTTAATTACATTGTTTAGATATATCTTTGCGACCAAAGTTTATTGGTTTTTATCAAATATATACGTTAATTCGTATCATTTTATTTTCACTTTTTTATATAATAATACATAAAAGTCGATCTATACTTGTTAATTACCTATAATAAAGTCATAAAATTATTGAAAAACTCTTTTAAGTTTTTAAAAAAATCGGTTTAATTAGATTTTAGTTTATTCTAACAACCTACAGATATTAAAAAACAAACAGTCTTCTTCTTTCAGACTGCAGACGTTTGGTCAACCTCTTCTACTGTAGAGGTCTGCAGATGTGGTCCGCATACTGCAGACATTTTGTCTCTGAAAAAACAAACAGCACCTAACTCTTAGGCTTGACCTTGCCGTCAAACCCATACCCCACACCATTTAGAAATTAGTTGTACCAAACATTGAAAGCAATTTTTTTCCCAACTTAATTCTCGATCTCTCTGAATTTCTATTATCTGCTTCAATTTCATTTCCTTATATCAAACGATTATTGACAGAGAAAAAAATTCAGGTTAAGAAGAATTTAATGTCATTATTATTTATCAAATCACTTTTAGAAATGAAAACGTTCCTCTCAAAAAACTTGAAAGCTTAAAATATATTCCAAATATAGATTTAACTTCAAAATTTGTCTTTCTATATGATTCTTCTAACAATCTAATATACCAAATCTGCTTAGACTTGTTATTCACTTGTTACAATTTTTGATCATTTTAGAAATTGATTATGAGCAAATATTAGACACCACATTCTTTTTATTTGTTTAAAAAAATAAATGTTTCCTTCATATTTTAATATTTTAATATTGGAAACTATCAATAACACCTACAAATCCAAAAAAAACAAGAGAATTACAAACCAAAATAAAAAATTGGTCCGAGAAAAAAAAAACACCATGACAAGTAAAGTTTTAGGAAAGGGAAAACTGCAATAAAGTCATTACATATTGCATTTATAATCGATTTAGTTTCTATATCTTTTTTTTATTCAATTAAGTCCCAAAAACCGATAATCGTATTCAATTTAACCCTTTTACTCGGTCAACAGGTCATCCAACTTTCAAAAATTACATTTTTGGCCTAGATTTCAAAATTTATTACAAATTTGGTCCAAAATTTAGACTTTTGTCCCAGATTTTAAAATTTATTACAAATTTGGTCCAAAATTTACCCATTTGGCCCAAATTTTAGAATTTTGTTATGAATTCATCCTAAATTTAGTTGTTTTTATAACTTTATTTCTCAAATTTTGTTTCGAATATGTTTTTTTTTATAAAATTATATTTATACAAAAAAAAATTACATAAAAAATATTATATTTTCTATATAAATACTTTTTTTAAAAACGTTTTTGTGTACGAAATATCTATTTATAAAAACAGGTATTTACTAAGTACATAAATATATACAAATCTTTTTTATAAAAAAAAAGTATACAAACACGTATTTTATAAAAAAAAAAGTATACAAACACCTATTTTATTATAAATATATTTGTATGCAAACACATATTTATATAAAAAATGTAAAAAAAAAAACACACCATTTCATAGTTAAATTTGTTTCAATACTACACCATGTTAATTAACCGTCGACATACACCATGTGTTTTGGCAATCTTAGTTTTTGAACTTTTTTATATTTTTAAGCGTAACAAATGGTGATTATATTGTTTCCACTTCTTATTTTTAAATTTCTTATTTTTATATAAATGTTTCAAGTGATGTTATTTATTTTTAAATAAAAAATATATGTGTAACATAGTCTTAACAAGACAAAAACAATAAATTTATAACAAACCACTAAGTAATGTGTTTAGATAGAGTGTAGTGATTAAATCTAAAAAATGTTAAAAGACATGGCTACTATACTCACTCAATAATGTATAGAAATAAACTCATGAAACCCAAAATATTTTCATGTCAATGTCTTTTTTTACAGTTTGTTTTGTTAATAATAATTATAATATATATAAAAGTAATTAATATTTATTTTCTATTTATAGCTTTTAAAGGATATAATAAAAAATAGTATCCAATACAAAGAATAATAATTAATCTTAATACTATAAAAATATTATAATATAATGTGTTGCTCATGTAAGCTTATTTTTTGAAAGCAAAATATACCTTTTAAGGAAAGTTCTCATCAAAAGTAAAGTTAATCATTCAATATATTAAGTTACCCTAAAAATAAGTATTCGTTACAGTGTTTTCTTTAATACACTAAAATCTTTTTTCATACTTTCAACCCTCGACCATTAAACTTAACCATTGAGTTGTTAAACAAATATAAATAGACAAATAGTCGCTCACCTTAAATTAACGATTAGGTTTAATTACGAGAGCTCACACCACGATTAGGTTTAATGACAATCAGACCATTAGAACATAAATAGAAATTTGTATAAACCATAAATCCTAAATCTTAATAACCATAAAGTAATGCAATTAACCAACCTTCTTGTAAAAAATGTGTTGTACTCATGACATTTCAAAAACTTGTGTGGCTCTTTCGTCTTAGGTTGTGTTTGATAAGTGTCTGACCGAGTCGAGTCAGACAATTTTGGCTGACTCGGTCAGCTGAAGGCGTTTGATAATTCAATTTCGGGTGTCTTTCTCAGAAAGAAACGTCTGAGTGGGTTAGAAGATAAAAACTTGCTGAGTGAGAAAGGCATATGCGGTTTCCAAAATTACCCTTGTGACCTAACGTTCCCATTCTTTCTTCTCTTCCAGCAACGCCTCCATTCTTTCTTCTTCTTTCAGCGCCTCCTTCGTTCTTTCTTTCTTCTTCTTTCAGCGTCGGCAGAAACCTCTTCCTCTCCCACCGATTGAATCGT